AACTAGAGACTACCATTAGTACTATATTACAGAATCCAATTTTCAAAATAGAAGAATTCTCTACAAGATCAACCAATTCAAGTCTATCATTTCTCAACTAAGGAAAATGGGACTAGGAATTTAAGTGATTTATTCAAAATTAATGTGCCAGGACTGAAATACAAGGTTCCTGGCCCTGAGTCATGGATGCTTTCCATGGTAATGGACCCATGTGATTCCAGTCCTAACTTAAAAGCAGAAATCACATTAAGTCATCCTCTTTACCCTTAATATTTTTATCTTAAAAATGTGACATTTTAAAAGAATCTTATTTATAGTTCTTAAAGATCAGATCTGAAATGAAACATTTAATCATTTAATTTTAACTTCTGAGAGTAGAAAAGACAAGAGGACTAAAACTAACATTGGATAATGTTAACAGGAGACTACAGCAAGGAATGACGGCCCTCTGGAAAGACTGTTACCAGCTTCACAGAGAAGCCTGCACGCGTCCCTTCTACTATACACGGTGAACTTTTACTCTCTTTCATTTTATTCTTGTAAAACAAGGCCATTCAACACAATAAAACCAGGGAATGAGAGAAATAATAAACACTTAAAACTACCTGTCAACTAAAAGCCACTGGTACTCTGAACATTACTTTGTCAAACAGATCCTTCCTTTCTCTTTTATCCATTTTTACCTCCCTTTACCTACACTGGTTTTAAAAAAAAAAGTTAATGATGCACATTTTTTACAGAAGAACCTGTGAACAGTTTCCTTCCAGTGCCATTTCACTGACCTAAGACTAGTACTCAAATTAAAAAACTTTTCGCTCCTCGTACAGATATTTCACAGTGAGATGTGCTAAATTCACTGCAAGTTTTCTTATTTATCCACATAAAAAGTATTTCCTACTTAATAAAATAACAGCACAAACAATAACTAAAGTTCTCAAAATGCTCCCCCAAGATACTTACTTTTGTCTGTTGTGAGCATTTTCTTTCCTTAAATCATTGAGGTTTCTTTCAGCAGTCCGAGCTGCCAACTTCAAGAAAATAACATATTTTAAAATACATTTTACACAAACATAAAATGAAACCTAAGCATTCACGTACAAATCCGATGGTACTAAACAAATAACACAGTCACTTAAGTACCCATTTCAGTAAACCCTTTAAACTTAGGGAATTGTTTTCAAAGTGAATGAGTTTTATTAAAGCAGAACACATGTGCCTAAGGCTGGAATTTAATCGTGTATGTGCCAAGGAATGTAGCTATCTTGATGTGGAATCAAGGATTAACATTATTTGGTGCTGTAAATATCCAAATAACATGGTAAGAGCTATGTAACAGACCCACGCTCAGGGCAATGGAAATGAAGGCTGTGTTCACTATGCACAACAGCCTTGACTACGGAACGAGGTCATTATCTCCAGAGAGAAATCACTATAGTTCTGTGAAACCAAAAACGTTTAAATAGCTTTACAGCACGGCAGTACAGGCTACTGTTTTAAATGGCTAAATATAAGCTATGCACGTTGCTTATCTATGAAGTACACAGCATTATACAGATCATATTCTTGTCTTTTATATTGAAGGATTTTTTATTTAATAATGAAAGGTAAAAAAATTAGATCATATTTATTATAGAAAACAAAACTTACACTTTTCATAAATACTAAGAACATGCAACATTCCCAAATAGTTGTGGGCAAAGGTTAAGCTTGTCCACAGACTGCACATTTCCCAGCCAATCCGTAGACTCTGAAGATTAGAAGCCACCAAACTTATACTATCTACTAATTAACTAACATAAATTAACTGAGTCTATGACCACAACATTTTACAAGTAAAAGGAACTACACTATCAAATTTTTGTTCACTTAAAATAGTGACCTACACATTAGAACTGACTTTAACTGACCAAAGAATAAATGATGTAAAATCACAAAAACAGCTTAAATATACGTTAATACTATTAAAAAGGACTGCATGTGATTTAAGTTTTTTTCAATATGTAATCATAAAATTAATTTTGTACTAACAATAAAGGTTACACCAATGACAATTTTAGTTAGTAAAATACATCAATTCATTTAACTGGTAACCATGCAGAACCAACATGACTTGTAAATGTATTCTACACAGTATAACATATTTACTCTTAAGCATAAGGCCCAAAAACATAACAGTCAATTAGATATCAATATTAAAAATCCGTTACCATAAATTAACTGATGGAAAATGATTACAGACTTTTGAAAAACTTACACCCAAAGGTTAAGTAAAACTGTAATTTCAGTGAATAAACACACTATTCTACTAAAACACTGTAGTCAAATAATGAATACTTATACTATGTAGAGAATTCTGTTAAATGCAGGTGTTAAAAGTCTCTATCCTACAGAGCTTGCATCTTGTGATAAGAACAAATGTAAATGTCCACAGTAAAAAACATAATAACCTGCCACAGGACACGTGAACACAATACTTTGCATGAGTTCAAAGAAAGAAAAGATTAAATCTGAAAGGATTCAACAAAGAAATGCTCAATGGAGGAAGTACAATGATAGAAATTAGACTTTCATTATGTAATGGTAAAAACTGTAACAGTAAAAAGTAGAAATTAACGAATATTTAAGCAAATGAGAAAGATTTTTTATAAATTATGAAAAGCATTAGTAGAAAATTGTCCATGATATATTAAGTAAAGGCAGCAAGTTATAAATGGTAAGATATAATAATTCCTTTTAAAAAGATATATATGGGCAGCACCTGTGGCTCAGTGGGTAGGACGCCAGCCCCATATGCCAAAGGTGGTGGGTTCAAACCCAGGCCCGGCCAAACTGCAACAGAAAAATAGCCAGCCAGGCATTGTGTCAGGAACCTGTAGTCCCAGCTACTCAGGAGGCTGAGGCAAGAGAATCACCTAAGCCCAGGAGGTGGAGGTTGCTGTGAGCAGTGTGATGCCATGGTACTCTATTGAGGGCAATAAAGTGAGGCTCTGTCTCTACAAAAGAAAAAGATATATATGTGCTGGCTCAGCACCCCTAGCACAGTGGTTACGGTGCCAGCCCCAAACACTGAGGGTGGCAGTTTCAAACCTGGCCCAGGACAGCTAAACAATATCCCAAGAGTTGAAGATTGCTGTGAGCTGTGATGCCATAGCACTCTACTGAGGCTGACATAGTGAGACTCTGCCTCAACAACAAACAAACAAGCATGGGCAGTGCCTGTGGCTCAGTGGGTAGGACGCCAGTCCCATATCCTGAGGGTGGAAGGTTCGAATCCAGCCCCAGCCAAACAGGAACAAAAAAATAGCCGGCTGTTCTGGTGGGCACCTGTAGTCCCAGCTACTCGGGAGGCTGAAGCAATTCCTAAGCCCAGGAGTTGGATGTTGTTGTGAGCTGTGATGGCACAGCACTCTACCAAAAGCAATAAAGTGAGACTGTCTCTAAAAATAAACAAACATATATGTGCTTTAATGTCTAAATGCATTCAAAAGTGTATTGGGTAAATAAAAGTTATGCTGATGATTAACTCCTTATACCTTATAGTGTATGGCTTGAACTTTTAATAATATATCATTTTTATAACATATGAAAAATAAATTTTCACTGAGACATAAATGGGGTACCTATTCTGAATGTTTATTTAGGAAACAAGAAATTCAACATACAGTAACAGAAAAAGTATAAGACTTAAAATCTGAAAGATCAAAATTGAATCATATGGTCTTAGGCTGTTTCCCCATCTGTATATCTGCCATAGCAATACCTACTTCACAGAGTTATTAAGGGGACTAAAGGGGTAAGATATGGAAAATGCCTTTAAGTACAGTGCCTAGAACTCAAGAGATTTTAATAAATATCCTCTCCATCTTTAAAAAGTGATCTACATCTAAGAATTTAAAAGGGGCATGAAGTAGAAAAGAAGACTAAATTCATCTCCAAATCCAGCTTACATCTTCACTTGACCCTCACTCAACGTTCAAGCAACAGAATCTGAGAACTGGGAAGGACCTCGATATTCACCACACCTAATCTCTCACCCTGTGCCAGAATCTCCAGTCCAGTATTCCTGAGGGACATCTACAAAGCTTCAGTACAAAGCAATAACAGCTTAGGCACTTGGCAACAACCTTACATAAACTGTCTTATTTAATCATCAGAATAATCGTATGAAATGAGTCCTGTTGACATCTCTGTCTTAGCTGAGGAAACTGGTAGTCGGTGATGGAGCCAGCACACTAGCCAACACAGGCTGACTATGGACCTCATCTGTCCACCTTGGAGACAAGTACTGCACAGGTCAACTATTACAACAGTTCTACACGTTGGAGAAGTCTTTCTTAGAATTAGTCAAACTCTGCATCCTTAACACGTCCTCACACAATTAGTTCCTCTAAAGCACAAGACATACTGTTTCTCATGATGGCCTTTTTCTTAATATGGAACAAGAAACTCAACACTTAGAATCAGACAACAGAACTGTATGACTTTTAGAACTAGAAGGGGCTTTAAATATCATTTAGTCCAAATGAGCAGAGGCCTAAAGAACTGTAACGTTTTTGTCCACAACTAAATTAGTGGCAATCCAGTGCCCTAAACAATGAATCCACAAACACTGCATCACCTCCCCCAGAGAAATTCAACTCCTTTCAAAGAAGCAACTAGCTGAAAGCAGAGAAAGAAGAAGTCAGATTTTGTGAATAATTGTGTTGTAACAAAGTATTCTATTCACAAAAAATAGTTCACTACTGGTGAAAGTTTTAAAAAGTAACTTTTCAAAACACCATATTTTCAAAATACTATCTTTATTTTCATTTATCTAATTTAAATGAGTAATCTATCTTCTGAAAGGCAAAGCACAATTTGACAAAGAACTTTAAGGAAACATATAACTTACCCAATTATCGTGTGCTTTTTTCTCATGGGAAATAATCTGAAAAAGAAAAGGCATGGAAGTAACACTGACAACTTATTTAGAGCACAACCCACAAATCAAAAATACCCAGCCATCCGGAGTCAACACACAACATTCTTAAAGCAAATTTTCATAGATAGGTGATCTACTCTATTATACTTTTAAAACAAAAACTGAACATAAAGACATAAAAATTTGTCTACTAAAATTCTACTTTATGTAATAATTAACTGCAAGAGGAGCTG